TGGGATCGAGCCCCACATCAGGTTCCTTGCTCAGCGGGAAGCCTGCTTCTCCCTCTCCCTCTGCTGTTCCCCTGCTTGTACTCTCTCTCTGTGTCAAATAAATAAATAAAAGCTTTAAAAAAATAAAATTAAATTTTTAAAAAGTGAGCCCAAAGCATCCCTGATAATAAGATAACAATTATAGGGCGCTTTATAGTTCTTTACATAGTTGTGTGTGTGTTCATGTGCATGTGTGCACACGTATCTATGGAGAGGTTAACAGCAGATCCTCATGATTCACTACTGTAAACACGTGACCAGGATACTTCTATCAGAAATATTTTGTGTACTCTGGCAATTCCATTAAACCTGCCACACACCAGGTCACCTGCCTTTCCAAAGTTACAGAGGAAAGAAAATTCTGTTAAACCTTAGAGGGATGTACATGGGCAGGACAGCAGGAGAAGTGAGTAGGAGGGTGTTTTCTTCAAGTTGAAGGAGCTGAGGAAAAAAAATAAAATAAAATCCCATGGTAGCAATCAGATCGTTGGTACCGAAGATCGAGTGAGTCAGGGCGGGTCCTTAGCAAGCAGGTACTAAGCTAGGATTGGCCACACCCTCAGGAATCAGAATAGCATTCTGTGATGCAAGGAGGAAGGAATGCGTCCGCTCAGGAAGCTGGGTGAGGCAAGGCTGTCATTATGGCAATCTGGGCACAGCTATAGTTACGGACAGGCCAACCTGTCGGCACGAAAACAGAAATCCGTAGCACTGGCTGCCATGTGGTGAGCTTTCCCATGCTAACCTTGTGTCCAAAGAGCATATCTGGGCAGTTACATGACCTTAAGTCTTTGTGGGGAAAGTACCTAATAATAAAAATAATTTTTTTTTTAAAGATGTTATTTAATTGACAGAGAGAGAGAGCACAAGCACAGGGAGCGGCAGGCAGAGGGAGAGGGAGAAACAGGCTTCCCGCCAAGCAGGGATCCCGATGCGGGGCTCGATCCCAGGACCCTGGGACCATGACCTGAACTGAAGGCAGATGCTCAACGACTGAGCCACCCAGGCGCCCCAAATATAATAATAATTTTAAAGTGTGCTGAGTGAGCTGCAGTATTACATGAGCTAATCAATCCTTGCTCTCTTGCTTATTGATTATGATGAAATGTTTTAACTTGAGAGAATTTTTTTTGAGAGAATTTTTATATAACCAAGAGAGACACATTAATTGCAGAGAATTTAGAAACTCCATGTAAATACTCAGAAGAAAATTATAATCCTTTATATCCCATCACCGATATATAACAGACCTTAACATTTTATTGTATAATTCTTCAAACTTTCATATGTATGTATAATCATGATGTACACTCCTTTGTCACTTGATTTCTTCCCCCAATCAAATGGAACATACATCTCTTCTTCATGTCAATGAAAATACTCCTACAGCATCATGCTTTGTACCTGCAGGGTACTCCATTGCATGGTACTTTTATTAATTATTTAATCAGTTTCCTGTTACACATTTACTTGCTTCCAAATATTGACTATTGTAAATGCCGTAGTAAACATACTTACTCATGTCTTTCCAAACATTATTTCCCTATGTTCCTCCTTTAAACGGAATTGTTGAGTCAAGGGGTTTTTATATATTTATGGCTTATATATATCGCCAATAGCCTTGCCCTACAGCTAAATCACCACCACCATTCACATCATTATATCATTACCTTGTATGAATGTTCTTTTCCCCTCTCATTCTCCTTTTTTAAGATGTATTTATTTGAGAGACCATGTGTGCGCACACGTGAGCATGTGGGGAGGGCAGGCAGAGGGAGAGAGAGTCTTAAGCAGACCCCCTGCTGAGCGTGGAACCCCACAAGGGGCTCAGTCTCAGGATCCTGAGCCGAAACCAAGAGTTGGACGCTCAACCAACTGTGCCAGCCAGGCGCCCCTTCTCTCATTCTTACCTACGATTGGTTTTAACCTGATATCTAACAAATTTAACAGTACTATAAAAAACACTGATGTTTTATTTTTTATTTCTTAAATTTTTAGTGATGCTGAATATTATTTCACATGTGCATTCATTTCCTAGGGCTACTGTAACAAAGCATAACAAATTGGGTGGCCTAAAACAACAGAAATGTCTCACAGTTCTGGAGGCCAGAAGTCCAAAGTCAAGGTGACAAGATTTGTCCAGGTCCAGCTCTGCCTCTCTACTTTCAGGCTCTGTGCTTCTCCCCACTGCTGAGAGATCATTAGGTAGCTTCTATCTTGGGCCAGGGGAAAGAGATATTCTCAGGCTTCCTGAGGCCCTCTCTACCTGGACCTACCATGCAGTCATCTCTCTGGATTCTGGTCACCATCCTAGGGTACTACAAAGTTATATGTGTCCCCTCAGTTCTTGGATTGCTTCACCATCTGGGGGTTTACCAGCCCCCATCCCAGGACTTACTCGAGTGTTTTCATTTGTATTATAATTTCAGTCTTCTCCCTAACATTGATCATTAGCCACATGCTACGTTTCCCTTTATTTGTACATAATGACATGAAAGTACTTATAATTTAAAAGCAAGATATCAAAGTATATATATTCTATTACTTCAGTGTTTAAAAAAAAAATCCACATAGGAAAAAGGACTGGAAAGAAAGAAATCAAGACCATGCAGAGGAGGGTGCAGAGCAACTAGAACTAGACTGGAGTCCTGGAGCTGCCACATGAGCTGAGCTTCAGCTGATTTATGAGAAATAAATGTTTACCATGTTCAATCCAAAAAATTTAAGAAAAATGCCAACAATGGCATTTAAAATAGTAGGGTAGTATTTATGGATTTAAAATTTTTAATTTCTCTATTATTGCTTTTGTCTGGTTTCCAAATATTTTTGATTAATTACTTCTATAATGAAATAAATTATTCATTCATTAGACAAACCTTTACTAATGGGTTAGTATACACCAGACACTAAGCGAAGAATTTAGGAAGAACAATGAAAAAGATAAATGTGGTCCTTGTCCTCGAAGAGGTTTTACTCTAGTAAAAAAAAAAAGAACACAGGACAAGTAATGAGCAGTAGTGATGAGCACTGTCACAGGTAAGTACGGGATGCTAAGGGAATGCATGACAGAGGAGCATATGGGGTGGGGAAGTAGGCAGTCAGAAAAGTCTTTGAGGTCCTAAAGCAAGTTTCAACAAATTTCAAGACAGAGTATGTTTGCTAACCGTAATGCAGTCGCCTCTCCAATTGATAGGAAAAGTTATCTTAGGGGCACCTGGGTGGCTCAGTCGTTGAGCATCTGCCTTCAGCTCAAGGTCATGGTCCCAGGGTCCTGGGATCAAGCCCAAATCAGGCTCCCTGCTCAGCGGGAAGCCTGCTTCTCCCTCTCCCACTCCCCCTGCTTGTGTTGCCTCTCTCACTGTGTCTCTCTCTGTCAAATAAATAAAAATCTTTAAAAAAAAATAATTATCTTGGGCGCCTGGGTGGCTCAGTTGGTTAAGCGACTGCCTTCAGCTCAGGTCATGATCCTGGAGTCCCGGGATCAAGTCCCGTGTTGGGCTCCCTGCTCAGCGGAGAGTCTGCTTCTCCCTCTGACCCTCCCCCCTCTCATGTGCTTTCTCTCATTCTCTCTCTCTCAAATAAATTTTAAAAATCTTAAAAAAATAATAATAATAATAATTATCTTAAAAATATCCGTATGCTTGGAAATTAAGAGATGCATTTCTAAATAATCCATGAATCAAAGAAGAATTTGTAATGGAAATTAGAAAATGTTTGAACAAACATACTATATTCAAAACTTGTGAGAGTAGCTAAAGCAGTGTAAGAGGGACACAACTTTAAAAACACATGTACAATTGACCCCTGAACAATATGGGTTTGAACTGCACCAGTCACTTAAATAGGGATTTTTTTCAATAAATACAGTACAGTAGTATAAATGTCTTTTCTTATGATTTTCTTAATATTTTCTTTTCTCCAGCTTACTTTATTATAAGAATGTAGTATATAATATATAAAACATGCAAAATATATCAATCTACTATTACCAGTAAGGCTTCTGGTCAACAGTAAGCTATTAGTTTAAGTTTGGGGGGATTCAAGAGTTATATGGGGAGCACCTGGGTGGCTCAGTAGTTAAGCGTCTGCCTTCGGCTCAGGTCATGATCCCAGGGTCCTGGGATCAAGCCCCACATTGGGCTCCCTGCTCGGCAGGAAGCCTGCTTCTCCCTCTCCCACTCCCCCTGCTTGTGTTCCCTCTCTCACTGTGTCTCTCTCTGTCATATAAATAAATAAAATCTTAAAAAAAAAAAAAAGTTATGTGGGGATCTTCCACTGGGGGTGGGCGTCAGGGCCCCTAATCCCACATTAACCCCACATTGTCCAAGAGTCGACTGTACATACATATATGAAATTCCGGAGAAGGAAAATTTTATCTGTAGTAACAGAAAGCCGATCAGTGGTTGCCTGGGGTCAGGGTGGGGGAGTAGGGGGGAGAAAGGGTGGAGATTGACTACGAAAGGGCAGGGTTTGTTAAAACTCCTAGAGCTATATACCTAAGATCTGCGCTTTGATCTGGACGTTAATCATATTAAATATTTTTTAAGACTGAAAGACCCGGAAGGAGAGAGGAGAGGACGGAGACAGTGAGTCCCAGCGCCCCTCCAGCCTCCCAGGGACTCAGGCTTAGCCGGGTGTGCGGGGCGGGGCCGGGAGGGGAGGAGGGGCAGACGCCTGCGAGCCCGCTGGGGAGGCGGGGCGCGGGGCGCGGCGGGCGCGTGCAGTTCTTCCTCTCCGACGCCAGGCGGCGGCGTGGGCGGGGAAGCGTGGCGGTGACCCTGGCAGCCGCAGCAAGGGGGCGGGCCGAGCGCGGGACTCCATGCGGGCGCCGGCGCGGAGTAGGTGCAGCGCGGGGTCGCCATGGCGGAGGTGCAGCAGCTGCGGGTACAGGAGGCGGTGGACTCCATGGTGAAGAGTCTGGAGAGAGAGAACATCAGGAAGATGCAGGTAGCGGGCGGGGGTCATGGCGCGGAGTCCCGGCAGTCCGCGATTCCCTTCTCGCAGCCGCGGCGCGCCGCTGCCCGCCTCCCTGCAGACCCGAGTCGGGGCGTCCCTGGGGTCGCCACGGCCCCCTCGGAAGCACCTCAGCCTCAGAACTCCTGGAGCTTCCGCCGAGCGAATGAAATCTGTGCTCCCTCCCCACGCGCGAAGCCGTTTTCCCCCCAGGCCAGCTCCGGGGAGGGGCTGTCAGACCCTGGACCAGCGTTAGAAAGTCCCTAGTGTGAGGCGTTCGGCCTCCCCCGCCTTGCTGTCTTGTGCTGCCCCTTCCGCAGGTGAGCGGACCGAGGCCCAGAAAGGGCACGGCCAAGGTGAAACACCGGAAAGGCAAAAGCGCTTGGCTTCCTCAGTGGCCATGTCATGCCCGTTTTAGTGTCTGCTCCACACAGTGCTGCTTTATATGCCGTTGTGCTTTGATCCCCTAAATGGTATGTGGCTGTTGGTCCTGCCTCCCTTACCAAATTGTGGGGTTTCTGTTGTAGTGCTTCTTGGGTCATTGATAATGGATCGGTTGCCCCCTGGTGGAAAGTACATTACTAGGTTGCTGACCTCTGAACCCTGTGGAATAGGTACCTGGTTTTCAGAATTTGACTTCATCTGACCCACCTCCACCTTCTCCGTCCACCCCCAGCCTTCCATGCACCAAGTGCCAATGAGTTGGCAGCAAGAAGGCCGTGAAATCTTCTGCTAGGCTTCGGGGATAATTTTCCCATTTGTGGTTTTAGGTTCTTGGTGTCTGTTAGGAGAGGTGCAAATATAGATGCTCCTCTGTTGCACTCCATGGTTATCTCTGCCCCAGAGAGTTTCCTGCCTAACCTCTCTCTCTGCCCTCCCTTCCCAGGGCCTCATGTTCAGGTGCAGTGCCAGCTGCTGTGAGGACAGCCAGGCCTCCATGCAGCAGGTTCATCAGTGCATTGAACGCTGCCATGCGCCTCTGGCTCAAGCCCAGGCCTTGGTGACCAGTGAGTTGGAGAAGTTCCAGGTGAGAAATATCCCAAGCAGAGGATGTCAGGCCTTGATGTTGCTCTTCTGCAAGAGATGACAAACATTTGTTCAAAACTCTTGGCTCTAATGTCTTGGTTCTTTTAACATTTGTGACAGTCCTGTGGCCAGCCAGTCTTCACAGGGTTTGAAATTTGGGGGAAAACTCCTGGAGGTTGAGTGCTATAAGTATTCCCCATAGAAAAAATGATGTAAAAAGGAGTTCATGACCAAGGGCCTTTGTCATCCATAGACACGAAATAGATATACCATATAGTATAAAGCTTTCTAAGACACATATTAATTCATTCTTAAACTAGTAGAGTCCCCAGGAAAGTGGAGTAGGCTAGTCATAAAGAGGTGCAGATTAGAACAATATCCTGCTGTCATGTTGTGGACTTGCCCACCCAGAACCACCCCTGTTTGCTATACCTAGAGGGCAGCTCCTGTGTCACTAAAGGACAGTCATTTATATGAAGTATTACTAATGCTGACTCATTGATGTCTTCCTCACAAGCCCCTCTGAGGTCACTAAGAGCAAAAGGTACCCACCGGATCTCTTTCTGGAGAAAAGGGTAGCCACAACTTCATGTTATTCCCTTCCTATGACTGTACCTTCCTAGAGCTTGGAGAAAGCAGAGCCCACTTCTGAACCAGTTTTTCATAGCCTGAGATCCTGCTCACATGGGACAAATTGTATCTAATATACAATTTTTACATTCTGCTCTACCGAATTCTTCAAAATTACTGACACTGTGAAGGACAAACTTCTCCAAGATCCTGAACCCACAGAGGTTTCTTTGTGTTCATTTTGACAGCTAATTTTATTGATAGGGTCTTTGACATTTTGATTCTTGAATTGCTATATAACTTTCTCCTTCTGTTCACTTTTTAGTCCTCTCTAATTAGACTTACTCTTCCACTCCGCCAGAACTGCGCTGGCCACTCCCCTCCGTGGAGCTAAATCCAGTGGTCATTTCTCATCCCTCATCTTCCTCAACCTGTCTGCATCACTGACGCAGTGATCACTTGCCTCCTGAAACAGTTTGTTCAGTTGGGCACCAAGACACCTCACTCTGTGGTTTCCCATCTCTCTCCCTGGCCGTCTTTTCTTGGCCTCCTTTCCTGCTTTTCCCCTCCAGCCTGTGAGCATTGGAGTGCCTAGCATTGTCCTTGGACCTTTTTTCGATTTAATTCTCTAGTCTCATAGCTATAAATATCTGTAATAAACATCCTTTATAGGCTTACAACTCCTACATTCATTCGTATCTCTAGACCAGATTCACTCAGATTCATATATCTAACTGCTTCTTCAACATCTCCCCTCATTTTGTCTAACTCCCCTCATTGGAATGTAAGTTCTTTGAGGGCAAGAACTTTATGTTTTACTCATTGCTGTATTCCCCAGCATTAGAAGAGTACCTGACCCATAGTAGATACTCAATAAATATTTTTTGAGTGTTTTTCTGTAGCAAGGACAGACATTAAAGAATCCAAATGTTTATAAGTCTTAACTGTAGCTGACCAATGGTAGCCTCTAGTTACTTCCCACTTCTGCAGGGGGCTTCTGTATAATTTATTCTATCATTCATTGCTTTCTTGTCATGCTTTGGACCCTCCTGGTGCCACCCTCTATTTCAGTCAGGATAATCTTGATTAATTGCACTATAGTGTCCCTTTAATTGATCAAGATTATATATGTGAAGCCAAAATATGTAGAAAGGGGCATAGCACATGGTAAACACTTGGTAAATGGAGGCCAGCCTTTCAGCCTTCTCTACCCTCTTCCTTCTTGCCACAGGACCGCCTGGCCCGATGCACCATGCATTGCAATGACAAAGCCAAAGATTCAATAGATGCGGGAAGTAAAGAGCTTCAGGTGAAACGGCAGCTGGAGAGTTGTGTGACCAAGTGTGTGGATGACCACATGCACCTCATCCCGACCATGACCAAGAAGATGAAGGAGTCTCTCTTGTCCATTGGGAAATAGAAGTCTTCGCAATTGGCCATCAAGGCTGACAGCAGGAATCTACTTAAAAAGAAATGGGAGTTTTGGTCTTTTAAGTGAAGTTTATGAAGAAATTAAGGATGGCAGCAAGTGTGAGGCATGTGTCACTTGCCTCTGGATACTGGTTCCTTTATGTTTCAACCCTAGAAAGTGAAATGGAAAAAACTGGTGCTAAAATTTGGGTTAGAGACGGTCACAGGAAAGTTTTTGATAGCCTAAATTTCACGTGCTTGTCCTGGCTCTAGGGATTCCTTTGTACCAAGCCAGAGCCCTCCAAGATACCAGATTCTTCTCCATACACAGCTACCAGCAGGCTGGCAGTTTCCTCTAACCTCCCTATGATCTGGTGGTGTAAGCAGAGGTGTTTCTGTTTGTTGCCAACCTCCTGTTTACCAGAAGGATCATCAAATCGTTTCCTATAAGCTGTAAAACAAAATCCATGAGGTTACTAATTTAGAAGGGAAAAAAGGTTTCTAGGTCTTTGTTTTGCTTGGTTTTGTTTTATATACAAGGGCATGAAGTTGATTTAAGATGTGGAGTTGGGAGAGGTAGTCAGATAAGAACTTTGAACAGTTCTTGTGGATATCTGTTCCTGGCCATCAAGATGTGGATATACATTTCTTGAAATATATATTACATCTTTAAGCTAGGAGACCGTGTAAAAATATGACAAGCGATGTTACACTGGGTATGGGAAGCAGACTTTCCCTCTCACTGGCTGCCATGATGGGCCCTGAGGCTATCTGCAGAAGAGCAACAAGACAATCTCAGAAGTGACACTCTCCCTTGAAGGGAAAGGGGTTTTTTATTGCACTATATACCAGTATCCAGGAATGAACATTGAAGGAGGAACTGTTGTCTTCTTAATTACGAGAATTATTAAATACTGGATGTGGAAAAACCTGGTTTTTATAGAACAGAATGGAATGAAGGCCTAAACTCAGTATTGCTTATTTTGCCCCCTGAAATAACAGAGCCCTACTGAGACAATCCCTTGGCAACAGGAAGGTCAAAGGAGAAAAAGTAGGCAATCAGGGGTGAGCTGTGATTCCTTTAAAGGAAAAGAGGGGCGGGGCGCCTGGGTGGCTCAGTTGGTTAAGCGACTGCCTTCGGCTCAGGTCATGATCCTGGAGTCCCGGGATCGAGTCCCGCATCGGGCTCCCTGCACGGCAGGGAGTCTGCTTCTCCCTCTGACCCTCCTCCCTCTCATGCTCTCTGTCTCTCATTGTCTCTCTCGCAAATAAAGTCTTAAAAAAAAAAAAAAAAAAAGGAAAAGAGGGGCAACCCCCCATTACCAAATACCACTTTTGCCTGGGACCTTTGCAGCAAGCAGTGTTCCTGCCCCAGTTCTAGCACCTTTTAATTTTGATAAGGACCTTACTGTCTTTTTACCAGCTTATTACTTGAAATGATAATATAGCCTGTGTTTGGTGTTTCAAGGCTGTGATATATTTTCCTAGTGGTTCAGTTTTTAAAAATAAAGGTTTAGTTTTTCCTCCACTATTATGTTTCTTAGTCTGGGTAGTGAATATATAACCTTCTTAGGATGCTTCTCTTTGTAGCGTGTGAAATAAGTTTCTTAAGAGGTCATGAAGAGTAAAAATTATTTATGAACTATGATTCAAATGCAGGACTGGTTCATTGTAAATGGGAAGAACTGAGGGTAGGCTACAGCGCTATGACTTAAAGTTAATTCATTTAAAAAAAAACTGTAAGGCTAAAAAAAATTTCAGTGTCCATTTCAGGACTCTCTAGCTTCAACTAAACACTGACGGCAAGAGGGAAAGGGTAATTAATGATCCCTCTTGAGAAAATGCAACGTCTAGGATTTTGAGTGTCAAGAGAGTATAAACTATGTGATGAGTTTAAGTCTTTACTATCATTAGTATTTAAATAGAGCCATTCCTGAACATTAGGAATGAATTGAATTGTGGAGACTCGTCCCCTACTTAGAATCACCAAGGCTTTACTATTTTGGCCTAAGTCTTCGATAATCCCAATTTGTATTTTATTCATACATATGTATTCGCCTCTTTTGGGTAACTTAAGTGGGAACAAGTCGGAGATCACTTTTTACACTTGGGTTGATTTTCAAGTCAAGAGTATCTCAGATCGTTCACGTTTTTTATATAGGAGCAAGGCACATCAAGTAGGGTTCTGGAGGCAGTGTTACAAGAATTGGAGGACTGTCAATAGGTAATGCACTTCCGCGCTCTAGATTCAAATTCTTAGAAACTGAGGCCACATCACCCTACTTCTCTGGTGTCCAAAGGTCACTAATTGATGTTACTGGAACCCTAGGCTTAGCGTGACAATACGTGGGAATACATACCAAAGAACTATTAGAGGCCCACTACTCCAGAATCTATATTCACTTAGTATATATGAAGGAGACAACCAAAGCAGTGCACAAAGAGAGGGATAAACCGGTTTCGCCTAGAAGCTAGAGACCTAACCGCTACGTCAATTTTACAAACGAGGAAACGGAACTGAGAAGACGACTGGCCCCACCCCTAACCCTATCTAGGCCAATCGCTGGTGACGCAACCGGAAACACGAGACCGATAAGTTCAGGCGCCCCCAAAGTATCGCGAGGTAGAATGTGAACTCAGCCGACATTTGATTGGCCGGGGGGATCGGTGACGTCAGACGCGAAACGCTGGGCCTACAGGGGGAGCGTGAGGGACGCCACGAATTTCGTTTGGAGGCATCTTTGAGCTCGCGGAGCGGACACCATGAGCAAAGCTCACCCTCCCGAGTTGAAAAAGTAAGTATGTGAGAGGGCCGCGTCCAAGTGGCAGCTTCTTTGAGTGCTTTGAGTTCCTTAGATCCTCTCCATTTCCTGCAGTGTGCCTGGCGTGCGTGTTCCGGCACGAGGCCGCCGAGAACCCGACAGGGTCTCGCGCCTCGGCGCCGTAAAGCCCGCGCCGACGTCTCGTTTCGGCTTGGTTGATATGGCATGGTTACCAGTGACAGAAAAGGTGCCCCTATTCTGCTGTCTCGCCTTCTTGGGTGCATCTCCCGGCCCCACGTCTCCCAACGCGGTCCCTCTCGCTCTTTCTCCTTGCCTGGAAATCCTAGAATGCCATCCTTTGTTGAACTTCTTGAATAGCGTTAAGTTCTAAGTAAAGTGGCTGGAGAGTAATTCTATAAAGAACTAAGAAGATGGGCGGAATGGAAGTGTTTAATAGTAGATGAGGAGTCAAAAGCCACCTCTAAATGGGAATTTAGAAATCCCATTCTTTTGCTTTTTTGTGCTGAAGTTAAACTTGAATGTTATGTGATCTCTCGCTCTGTTAACAGAGCTGTGTGAGAACGTTCATTTTTCTGATCAGAGAAAACTAGGGATTTTTTTTTTCTGCACCCAGTAAAATCCACTCAAAACAGGATTTTCCTACTTTAAAGCTTTAGCCTCCGCACTCTTGACTGAACTTAACATGTTCGATGCCTCCTAATTATTTGTCTATCTCGTTTATACCATGTAATGCCAGAATTCTGCACACAGTAGTTGAATAGCACAAAGTATGAAAAATTGATTTCAGGAATCGATTTGTGAAACAGCTGGCCTGTGTATAGTTCACTTATTACCAGCCTCATAGAAAAGTCAGACTTAAAGAAAAGGTCGTATTTAATAATTTTACATTTAGGGGCACTTAGGTGGCACACTTGGGTTCAGCTCAGGTCATGATCGCAGGGTGGTGAGATCAGCCCCATGTGGAGCTCTCAGCACAGTTTGGAGTCTTGCTTAGTGTTTGTCTCTCCCTCTGCCCCTCCCCACTGGTCTCGCTCTCAAAAAAATGAATCTTAAAAAAAAAATAAGTTTACATTTAAACGTACATCTGTATCAAAGCCATTTTTTATGCAAAAACTCCGTGTATGTTTTAGTTGGATCCCTTAAAGAATTATTAATCATCAGTCTAACATTAAGAAAAACAGAAATTATTTTGAAAATGCTGATCTAAAACTTATTCTTTTATTGACAAGCTGGTAAAATCTTAGAAGTATCCTCTGGATTCTTCAAGAACTGGTGAAATGCTGATTATTTTTTAACGAAAGAACGTTGTCTACTTGTAATCTTGGACTTCCTTTTTTGTTTCTTTTTTTTTTTTTTTTTAAGATTTTTATTTATTTATTTGAGACAGAGAGAATGAGAGACAGAGAGCATGAGAGGGAGGAGGGTCAGAGGGAGAAGCAGACTCCCTGCCGAGCAGGGAGCCCGATGCGGGACTCGATCCAGAGACTCTGGGATCATGACCTGAGCCGAAGGCAGTCGCTTAACCAACTGAGCCACCCAGGCGCCCTCCTTTTTTGTTTCTTAACAGATACTTTTTTTCTTTACAGATATTTGAGAATTTCAGAGAACGAACCTAGTTTTAATATTTTTCTCATCTCTAGATTTCATGTATTGTAAAATCCTTTGAGACCTGCCTCCAAAATGACCTTCACATTTTTTTTTCCTTTATTTTCTCAGATATTTTTTACTCTTTATATCCTCCTGGTTTAGCTTAACTCATGGTTATTAACTGGGAGGGAGGGAGTCTGGTTCTACTGGCAGGGATCTAGTAAGGAGAAGCTGGGGATACTGCTAAACATTGTAAGTGCACTGGACATCCTTCAACAAAGAATTATCTGACTCCAGATGTTAATATGCCAAGATTGAGATACCTAAACCTACCCAGATTCTCCATCCCGCCTCTTAAAAATCACTGCCACAGTGGTCTTGCCAGTGACTGGACTTTGCCTTAATAATTTATGACTGACTGAATGATAAAGTCTAGGCTTCTTGACACAGGATTTGAGCTCTTCCATCTGAAATCTTACAAGTGCCAAATATTACACACACTAATGGAGTGCCCCCATTCTCCAGTCAAACCAAACCATTTGCATTTGCGCAAACTTTCTCACCACCTCTGTGACTTTGAACAATTTACTTAATCTTTTTGAGCCTCAGTTCTTCATCTATAAAATGGTGGTAATAACAATATTAACTTACAAAGTCATCATAAGGGTTAAATAAGTTCATGTGTGTTTTATTTGCTTGTTGTATATAATATATCCTATTAAAATGGATTATTTTATATATCATACTACATATTTTTGGTTTGTTTTTGTTTTTGTTTTTTTTTAAGATTTTATTTATTTTAGAGAGCTCACATGAGGGGAGAGGGAGAGAGACAGACTCCGTACTGAGCTCCGAGCCCTACTTGGGGCTCCATCTCACAACCCTGAGATCATGACCTGAGCCAAGCCAAGTCAGGTGCTCAACCGAGGTGCCACCCAGGTGCCCCAGGCCTGTGTCTTACTTACTTACCTCCGAATTCTCCCATTACATGTTATACATTAAAATTGCATGAAATTTCAGGGGCTCCTGGGTGACTCAGTTGGCTAAGCGTCCCACTCTTGGTTTCAGCTCAGGTCATGATCTCATGGGTGGTGAGATGGAGCCCCCTGTCGGTCGCCACGCTCAGCATGGAGTCTGCTTAATACTCTCTCCCTTTGCCCCTCCCCTACTTGTGCACGCACGCACGCTCTCAAATAAATAAACTTTTAAAAATTGCATGTAATTTCATATTTCCTAACCTGTAACTGGAAGGGGTAAAAACTGGTTTGGTTACATGGCTTAATATTTCCATAATACCCTGCTGAGATGGGATTTCCCTGTTTAATTCAGATTTTTTAAAGCTTCAAAATATGTATTTATTTTGCTAAAAAATACTTATGTGTTGAGAAATATCTTGAACACTTAAGTGTGATGCTTAATATTAAATAAAACAACACTCCTTATTGTCTCAAATATAAACTAGCTATTGAATTGGATATGGTTTGATTACCTTCTAGTTTCCTCACAACTTCGGTTTTGGTAATAACCAAAATATAAACAAATCTTTGTTTTTCTGTTATGGCTCTAAAATCCAGTCATCAAGGGTGCCTGGCTGACTCAAGTCAGTGGAGCATATGACTCTTGATCTCAGGGTTGTGTGTTAGCCCCATGTTGGGTGTAGAGATTACTTAAAAATAATTTTAAAATCTTTTTTGAGAAAATAAAATCTAGGGACTCCTGGGTGGCTCAGTCAGTTAAATATCTGCCTTCTGCTCAGGTCATGATCCCAGGGCTCTGGGATTGAGTCCCCTATCGGGCTCCTTCCTTGGCAGGGAGTCTGCTTCTCCATCTGTCTGCCGATCCCCCTGCTTGTGCCCTCTCTCACTGTCAGAGAGACAGACAGCGAGAGAGGGAACACAAGCAGGGGGAGCTGGGAGAGGGAGAAGCAGGCTTGCCACCAGAGCAGGAAG